ACCTCTTTTAGCCAAATCTACCCATCTCCTAGCCTAACTGTTAGCTAACTTTAATGCATTTATGGCCAACCTGAAGTTTAGACAGGAATTCAGTCCATCTTTTCAAAGAACAAGAACAAGAAAATTTTATTTACGTGGCATCCTAACAAACTCGTTACCCAGCAGGTGTCGCTGCAGGTCAGAATGTGGGGAAGCGTCAGAAGGAGCAACCCCTTCGTCTCCTCATCCCCCTCCGTCCCCCTCCGTCTCCTCCGCCTGTTACTGCTGAGTCCAGCCCCTGTTTTCCTCTGCTGGATGATGATGTTGGTGAGGAGGTGCGTGGAGAGAGGCGCCAACAGCATCACCAATAGGAGGAGGAGGAGATAGCTGCTGAGAGGAGAGGAGAAGAGCAGGCAGACGGTGTGCTCCTGCACCTCCACATCCACACTTTCTCCCTCTTACGGACACACACACACACACACTCGGAGAGAGTATGAAGAGCAGCAGCAGCAGCAGCAGCAGCAGCCGGCTCCGGACCGACGCTTCTCCTGCGGACTGAGCGGAGACCGCAGCATGGCGGGGGCCCGGAGGGGACTGGTGGCCCCTCAGAACACTTTCTTGGAGAACATCGTGAGACGGTCCAACGGTAAGAAGAAGCTTCATTTTTATTATTTTACAATTATTATTATTATTATATACAAAAAGAGACTCTTCACAACATGCAGTTGAGACGGGGACGCGGCAGAAACAGTTGCGTCATCACAGAAGTCACGCAATTAACGGAATAATTAGTTCGATTCCTGAAAGCCAAGCGGCGGCGTTTTGAAGTTCCGACTTGTAACGTGCAATTTTAAAATCTTTGAGCGCACTTTAATCCAATTAGGCTAATTAGTGCAATCATTTGCTGATAATGGCTAATTGGGATTACAATTATTGTGTGTGTGTGTGTGTGTGAGGGAGAGAGAGAGGGAGAGAGAGAGAGAGAGAGTGTAATATAATAAAAAATGAAAGGTAGTTTGTTCGAGACTCTTAATTCTGATTATTTATAATTCTAATTACTACTTTTAAAAGATATGTTTGTTGTCAGGTTGAGATTTTAATGATCTGATAATAACTGATACATTTGAATTCTTATTTCAATCTTTTCAAATAGAAAACGACTTTTTACTGAATGAGATTCCTTATTTCAGTAAGTAACAATTAGTTTACAAAGTAAAAAAATGAAATGTTAATGTTATGTTAGAAATGTTAGATTTATACAGGATGTGACAACACTGCTCAGAGTGGAGGGAAGTATTTACTCTGATATTTATGAAGCAGTCAGATTAGAACGTTCTGGTTGGTGTAGTTCATCCACGTCCCCAGGAACAAAATCTGGTGTAGAGCCTTTATATTTGTTCAGGTAAATATTGGATGTTTGGTCTGATTTAAAAAAAAAAAAAAAAAAGAAGGAGAGGTCGTAAAAGCCCCAAGGTTCAAAACTTTTCAAAACTCTAAAAAGCAGATTGTGCAAAGAACGTGGAAAAGCAGCCAGGATCGTAGTGACTTTTTAAATCCAGTCTGGATTTAAAAACTGATAGATCTCCAAGATT